AAATGTTAATTGCACTCTTCTCCCTAAAAGTTTTTGTATTGGGAAATATAACCACTTTTTATAACATGTTAACATGTGTTGAGTTGTTTATTTTTATGAGATTAATTAATAGATATTTTAAAAATTTTTTTTGTTTTTACTTCTCATATGACAAATAGTAATATGGTAAAACCTTGGATTGCAAATAACTTGGTTTGCGAGTGTTCCACAAGATGAGCAAACATTTCTAGTACATTTTAACGTGGTAAACGAGCGATGTCTTGCAATACGAGTAGTTTGTCTCCAGAACGAATTATGCTGTCAAACCAAGGTATTACTGTACATATAAACAGAAGCTCTTTGGGGGCGGTTCCTCAATTTTTTAGTTGTAGAAAAGCCCTTAGTCTAAGAAGTTTGAGAATCTCTGGGCTAGGGACATTTTTGAAAAGGGGTCAGTAACAGGATAAGGACGTCTTAGAGCTGGTTGGAGATTAAAACTTGATACCCTGGGATGACAATCTGGCCTGAGGTACCTGGAGAAGGAGCCTCTGTTGGGTGATGCCAAAGCAGACAAGGGCAGGAATGGGAGGGCATGCAGTTGACAGCCGCAATCTTGTTTTCAGCCCTCTGCTCCCTCCCAGGACCTGGTCAGGCAGGTTATATGATGTTATATAGGATGTATGCTCTTCTTACAAGGAGCTAATGGATAACCTGCCTATGGCTGGCTTGCAGGACTGTGATCACAAGGCCCACAAGACAGCCAGTGTCTTCTGCAATGAAGTTGCAGCTGTAGTCTGATATCAGGTTGGGCACTTTCTGAAGATCTGATGTCTGTGCTGTGTTCTGATCCCAGGGAGAGCATGGAAAATAATTAGAACGGTTTCTTTGGCTTTCCGGGAAAAAAATTTACCCCTACAGTAGTGTTCTAAGATCAAATTAAAAGACTGCCTAAAATAATTATTTTAACAAAAGCAGGTGGGAGGCTATTCTTATTACTAGCAGTATTCTTGTGGGAAAACATATGTGGATCTTGGCTAGTAATTTTGATAATGCTATTAATAAAATATTGTAAAATTGCACCTACTGCCTTTGATCTATCTGTTAATTGCTTTTTTCTTGCAGGCGAAAGGGCCTGTGGTTCCGACTGAGGAAAATACTTCTCTGTGTTTTGGGGTTGTATATTGCCATTCCATTTCTCATCAAACTATGTCCTGGGATACAGGCCAAACTGATTTTCTTGAATTTTGGTAAGTGACATGTGTCCGTTTTTCCTTTAATTTTAGTGAGACTTCATTTTCTTGATGGTTTATATATTTATCCACCACCCAGATCAAGACACAGAACATTTATATTACCCAGAAAGCTCCCTTGTGCCCCCTCCCAGTTAAAGGCTTTTGTAAGGAGTGTATTGCTCTCCAGGGCTGGCATTTGTGTATACAGATGAGCATTGCATGGTGGGGATCTTTCTTTAGCTGAGATAGGTAAAAATGTTGACAACATGGAGAGCCTTTTGAAGCTGTTGTGTAGGAGATGCTTTGTCGCTTGTGTAGTCTAGAAGGTTAACTGTCCTTGGAAAAGATGACCACTTTTTAAAAATAATAATTAGGCCGTTTTTCTTAAAAAAAAAAAAAAGTGAAATTTTCCTTTTTTTGCTTAAAAAATCCTGACAGACTTTGGTATCTGTGGAATTATATGCTGGCTTTATAGTTGTTGTAGTCTCCTTGAGTTATCTNTACAGGAGAGAGAAGGGTTCTGTGGAGTACGCTGCTGCAAACACTGGGCTAGCTATATTTCTAGATTACAGAAACCTTGTCCTTTAGCTAAGGGGCTCGTGCAGAACTATTTACAAATGTAGAACTTCCTGATAAAAATAATGACAAATTTTAATATGAGGTCTTTGGAGTTTTCAAAACTAAATACAGTAAAACCTTGGATTGCGAGTAACATGGTTTGGGAGTGTTCCGCAAGATGAGCAAACATTTCTAATACATTTTAACGTGGTAAACGAGCGATGTCTTGCAATACGAGTAGTTTGTTTCCGAAACAAATTATGCTTATAAACCAAGGTATTACTGTAGCTTTCTTCTCTGAATTTCTTAGTGCAATATTTACTTTTGGTTTTATACAAAATTACTAACTGCCATTATTGCGTTGTCCTCATCTCCCATCCTAGGTTTCAGTTTTCCTGAAGAGTCTCAAAACACTTGATAGTGCTGAGTAACACCAGACACCTCTCTCAGAGCCCTTATGTCTGCTCCACTGAGCTGAGAGCACAACATAGATGCAGATGCCCTCCTTTGCTGCCCTTATTGTTCACCACCTGAGAACGCTAGGTGCTCAATAATGACGGTTGAGTAAACCAGGTGAATGAGTGAATAAATTACATTATAGGTAAGCATATTTGTCATCAGCTTTACTGAGGCATTATTTATATATAGCAAAACTTACCGGTGCATACAATTATGTATCCACAATCAAGATAAAAAGTTTTTCCGTTACTCCAAAAGTTCGCTGTGCCCCTTGCAACCTCCTTTTATCCCCAGCCCCTGGCAATCACTGTTCTGTTTTTCTGTCTGTATACTTTTGCCTTTTCTAGAATTTTAGATAAATAGAATCATACAATATGTAGTCTTTTGTGTATGTCTTCTTTAATTTAGCATAATACTTTTGAGATTCATCTGTATTCCATGTGTCAGCAATTCCAGGTATGTTTTTAGAGGAAGAACTGAG